GTTCACTGTCAATTGTTCTTTCCTGTTCACTGTCAACTTGTTCTTTCCCCGTGGTTTTTACGTCAACTTGTTCTTTCCAGTGTTCACTGTCAACTTGTTCTTTCCAGTGTTCACTGTCAACTTGTTCTTTCCAGTGTTCACTGTCAACTTGTTCTTTCCAGTGTTAAATTTCAACTTTTTCTTTTTCCCGTGTTTTACTTCAAATTTTTCTTTCCAGTGTTCACTTTTCAACTTTTTCTTTCCAGTGTTTTACGGGCAACTTGGTTTTTTTTCCATGTTCACTGTCAACCTGTTTCCCTTTCCCGTGTTCACTGTCAACTTTTTTCTTTTTCCCGTGTTCCCCTGTCAACTTTTTTCTTTCCAGTTTTTCCCTGTCAAATTGTTCTTTCCCCTTTTTCACTGTCAACTTGTTTTTTCCAGTGTTCACTGCAAAATTGTTTTTTCCAGTGTTCCTGTCAACTTTTTCTTTCAGTGTTTTACTGGGCAACTTGTTCCCTTTTCCCCTTTTTTCACTGTCAAAATTGTTTTTTTCCCGTTTTCCTGTTTAAACTTGTTCTTTCCAGTGTTCACTGTCAACTTGTTCTTTCCTGTGTTTTTTACTGTCAACTTGTTCTTTCCCGTGTTCACTTTTAACTTGTTCTTTTCCCGTGTTCCTGTCAACCCTTTTTTCTTTCCAGTGGTTTACTGTCAACTTGTTCTTTCCAGTGTTCATGTCAAATTGGTTTTTTCCATGGGTTTACTGTCAACTTTTTCTTTTCCCCGTGTTCACTGTCAACTTGTTTTTTCCAATGTTCACTGTCCCAAATTGGGTTTTTTCCTGTGGTTTTACTGTCAACTTGTTCTTTCCAGTTTTCACTGTCCCAAATTTTTATTTTCCCGTGTTTACGTCAAATTGTTCTTTCCCGTGTTTACTGTTAACTTGTTCTTTTTTTGTGTTCACTGTCAACTTTTTCTTTCCAGTGTTCAAATTTCAACTTGTTCTTTCCCTTTTTCCGGCAATTGTTCCCTTTTTAAATGTTTTACTGTCAAATTGTTTTTTTCCCGTGTTCCCCTGTCAACTTTTTTCTTTCCTTTGTTCACTGTCAAAATTGTTCTTTCCCGTGTTCCCCTGTTTAACTTGTTTTTTTCCCTTTCAATGTTTAACTTTTTTTTCCTGTTTTTCCCGTCAATTTTTCTTCCAGTTTTTTCCTGTCCCCTTTTCTTTCCAGTTTTACTGTCAACTTGTTCTTTGCCCTTTTTCCTTCAACTTGTTCTTTCCAGTGTTTACTGTCAACTTGTTTTTTTTCCAGAATTTACTGTCAAATTGTTCTTTCCCGTTTTAATGTCAACTTTTTTTTTTCCAGTGGGTTTACTGTCCCCCTTTTTTCTTTCCCTTTTTCACTGTCAACTTGTTCTTTTTCCCCTGTTTTTTCACTGTCAAATTTTTTTCTTTCCCGTGTTCATGTCAACTTTTTTCTTTCCCCGTGTTCCTTTTCAACCCTTTTTTCTTTCCATTTTTTCACTGTCAAAATTGTTCTTTTTCCCTTTTTCAATTCAATTTTTTTTCCTGTGTTCACTGGCAACTTTTTTTTCCGTGTTCCCCTGTCAATTTTTTCTTTCCAGTGTTCCCTGTCAACTTGGTTTTTTTTGCAGTGTCACTGTCCCAACCCTTTTTTTCTTTCCAGTGTTTCCCCGTTAACTTTCTTTCCAGTGTTCCCCTTTTCAACCCTTTTTCTTTCCAGTTTTCACTGTCAACCCTTTTTCTTTCCCCCTTTTTCATGTTTACTTTTTTCTTTCCCGTGTTCACTGTCAAATTGTTTTTCCTGTTTCACTGTCAACTTTTTTCTTTCCCGTGTTCACTGTCCCAAATTGTTTTTCCGTGTTCACTGTCAAAATTGTTCTTTCCAAAATGTTTTACTGTCAACTTGTTCCCTTTCCCGTGTTCCTGCAAATTGTTCTTTCCCCGGTTCACTGTCAACTTCCTTATGGTTTTTTTTTAAAATCCTCCATCAACCCATCAACTTCGTCTGCCGCAAAACTGTGTCATCAAATTTAGTCTGCAAAAACAACGTGTCATCAACTTCCGTTTTTTCCACAAAAACTGTGTCATTTAAAAATTCAGTCTGCCACAACAAAATGTGTCATCCTTCACTTTCCGCAACAACTGTGTCATCAACCCTTTAGAGTCCGCCACCCAAAAACGTGTCATCAACTTCGAGTCTCCACAACAAATGTGTTTACAATTCAAATCGCCAAACCCCTGTGTCCCTAAAATTCATTTTGCCACAACAAATGTTTTCCCTCAACTTCAGTCTGCCAAAACAAACGTGTCTTTAACTTCAGTCTGGCCGCAAAAAAACGTGTCATCAACTTCAATTTTGCCCCAACAAAATTGTCTTTTTAAAAATTAAAATCCCCGCCACAACAAGGGGTCCCTCAACTTCAGAGTCTGCCACAACAACTGTGGGAAACAACTTCAAAAAAAGTCTGCCACAAAAACCCGTGTCAACAAACCCCCCCCCAAAAAAAAAACAAACCCCCCCCAAACCCCCCAAAAAAAAAACCCCCCCCAAAAAAAAAAAAAACCCCCCCCCCCCCCCCCCAAAAAAAAAAAAAAACCCCAAAAAAAAACCCCCCAAAAAACAAACAAACCCCCCAAAAAACAAAAACCCAAAAAACCCCAAAAAAACCCCCCCCAAAAAAAAAAACACAAAAACCCCCCCCAAAAAAAACCCCCCCCCCCCAAAAACCCCCAAAAACCCCAAAAAAAAAACCCCCAAAAAAAAAAAACCCCCAAAAAAAGAAAAACCCCCCAAAAAAAAAAAAAAAAAAAAAAACCCCCAAAAAAAAAACCCCCCCCCCAAAAAAAAAAAAAAACCCCAAAAAAAAAAAAAAAAAAAAAAAAATTTTTTTTTTTTTTTTTTTAAAAATTTTTTTTTTTAAAAAATTTTTTTTTTTTTCCCCTTTTTTTTTTTTAAAAAAAAATTTTCATAATTTTTTAAAAAAAAGGGGTTTTTTTAAAAATTTTGGGCCAAAGGAAAAAAAGGTTCCCTTAAAATTTTTTAAATTTTTTTCCCTTTTGGTTTTTTTGGTTTTTTTTTTTTTTTTGGGGGGGGGGGGAAAAACCCCCTTTTTTTTTTTAAAAAAATTTTTAAAAAAAATTTTTTGGGGGTTTTTTTTTCCCCCCCTTTTTTTTAAAAATTTTTTTTTTGGGGAAAAAATTTTTTTAAAAAGGGGGGGATAAAATTTTTCCCTCCGGGGGGGGGAAAAATTTTTTTCCATCGGGTTTTTGGGGAAAAAAATGTTTAACCCCGGGGGGGGGGAAATTTTTCCCCTTTTTTTTAAAAAAAAGGGGGGGGTTTTGGGAAAATTTGTTAAAAAAATTTCTGGGTTTTTTTTTGTTTGGGGGAAAAACCCCCTTTTTTTTGGGGGGGCCCGGGGGGGTTTTTAAAAAAGGGGGGGGCCCCCTTTGTTTTTTTTTTTTTAATTTTTTTAAAAAAAAAGGGGGGGGGTTTAATAAAGGTTTTAAAAAAAGGGGTTTTTTTAAAAGGGTTGGGAAAAAAAAATTTTTTTTTTAAAATTTTTTTTTTTTTCCCCTTTTTTTAAAAAAAAAAAGGGGGGTTTTTTTTAAAAAAAAAATTTTTTTAAATTTTGGGGTTTTTTTTTAAAAAAAAATTTTTTTTTTTTTAAAACTTTTTAAAAATTTTTTTTCCGGGTTTTTTTAAAAAAAAAAATTTGTTAAAAAAATAATTTTTTTTAAAAAAATTTTTGGGTTTAAAAGTTTAAAAAAAATTTGTTAAAAAAAAAGGGGGGAAAAAAAAAAAATTTTTTTTTTTTTTGGGGGTTTTTAAATTTTTTTTGGGGGGTTTTTTAAAAAAAAAAAAAAAAAACTTTTTAAAAAAATTTTTTTTGGGGGGGAAAAAATTTTTTTCCCAAAAAATTTTTAAAATTCTTTTTTCCCCTTTTTTTTTTTAATTTTTTTTTTTTAAAAAAAAAACTGGGTTAAAAAAATTTTTTTTAAAAAATTTTTTAAATTTGGGGGAAAAGGCCTACTTTTACTAAAAAACAATCTCCTTCCTGTGTAAACCTGTGCATCATTATTGTCATAATAAAAAACATATACAACACCTGCAGCAACAGGTGTTGTCTCAGGTGTTTGTTAACACTTGTGTTGCTATACAGTAGCAGCTGTTGTTTCAGGTGTTTAATAACACCTGTGTTACTACATAGCAGCAGTAGATGTTGTCTCAGGTGTTTATTAACACTTGTGTTACTACACAGTAGCAGGTGTTTAATAACAGTTGTGTTACTACAAAGTACCAGGTGTTGTCTCAGGTGTTTAATAACAGTTGTGTTACTACAAAGTACCAGGTGTTGTCTCAGGTGTTTAATAACAGTTGAGTTACTACACAGTAGCAGGTGTTGTCTCAGGTGTTTAATAACAGTTGTGTTACTACAAAGTACCAGGTGTTGTATAACAGTTGAGTTACTACACAGTAGCAGGTGTTGTCTCAGGTGTTTAATAACAGTTGTGTTACTACAAAGTAGCAGGTGTTGTCTCAGGTGTTTAATAACAGTTGAGTTACTACACAGTAGCAGGTGTTGTCTCAGGTGTTTAATAACAGTTGTGTTACTACAAAGTAGCAGGTGTTGTCTCAGGTGTTTAATAACACCTGTGTTACTACATAGCAGCAGTAGGTGTTGTCTCAGGTATTTATTAATACTTGTGTTGCTATACAGTAGCAGCTGTTGTCTCAGGTGTTTATTAACACTTGTGTTACTACACAGTAGCAGGTGTTTAATAACAGTTTTCTTACTACAAAGTAGCAGATGTTGTCTCAGATGTTTAATAACAGTTGTGTAAGTTACTACACAGTAGCAGGTGTTGTCTCAGGTGTTTAATAACAGTTGTGTTACTACAAAGTAGCAGGTGTTGTCTCAGGTGTTTAATAACACTTGTGTTACTACACAGTAGCAGCAGGTGTTGTCCCAGGTGTTTAATAAGAGTTATGTATTTACAGGCACACATAGGAGATGTTAAGCTGAACTTACTGAACACTCACCTGGAGAGCACAGCTGAACACTCCAAGGAACGTGTTGAACAACTCACGCTAGCCTTCACTAACATGAAGTCGTGTTTACCATCTTCTACAGTCATATTTGGAGGAGATTTAAACATTCGCGACAAGGAAGTACGTGTGTTTGTTCAGTTTGTCAGGTAGTAACAGTCTGGTTGACCTAGACTGTCTAACATGCTATCAGCTGCTGGTAGTAAAAGTCTGGTTGACCTAGACTGTCTAACCCACTACCAGCTGCTGGTAGTATCAGTCTGGTTGACCTAGACTGTCAAACCTGCTACCAGCTGCTGGTAGTAACAGTCTAGTTGACCTAGACTGTAATTAGGTGATAAATAATACACTTGTGACATTGTACATTAGGAAGAAAAAGTCATAGTCACAGATCCCTTCATTATGATGTAACTAGACAGGTGTTCTAGTTACGTTACCCCAGTCAAGACTAGACAGGTGTTCTAGTTACGTTACCCCAGTCAAGACTAGACAGGTGTTCTAGTAAGATTACCCCAGTCAAGACTAGACAGGTGTTCTAGTAAGATTACTCCAGTCAAGACTAGACAGGTGTTCTAGTAAGATTACTCCAGTCAAGACTAGACAGGTGTTCTAGTAAGATTACCCCAGTCAAGACTAGACAGGTGTTCTAGTAAGATTACTCCAGTCAAGACTAGACAGGTGTTCTAGTAAGATTACCCCAGTCAAGACTAGACAGGTGTTCTAGTAAGATTACCCCAGTCAAGACTAGACAGGTGTTCTAGTAAGATTACTCCAGTCAAGACTAGACAGGTGTTCTAGTAAGATTACCCCAGTCAAGACTAGACAGGTGTTCTAGTAAGATTACTCCAGTCAAGACTAGACAGGTGTTCTAGTAAGATTACTCCAGTCAAGACTAGACAGGTGTTCTAGTAAGATTACCCCAGTCAAGACTAGACAGGTGTTCTAGTAAGATTACCCCAGTCAAGACTAGACAGGTGTTCTAGTTAGATTACTCCAGTCAAGACTAGACAGGTGTTCTAGTAAGATTACTCCAGTCAAGACTAGACAGGTGTTCTAGTAAGATTACCCCAGTCAAGACTAGACAGGTGTTCTAGTAAGATTACTCCAGTCAAGACTAGACAGGTGTTCTAGTAAGATTACTCCAGTCAAGACTAGACAGGTGTTCTAGTAAGATTACCCCAGTCAAGACTAGACAGGTGTTCTAGTTAGATTACCCCAGTCAAGACTAGACAGGTGTTCTAGTTAGATTACTCCAGTCAAGACTAGACAGGTGTTCTAGTTAGATTACTCCAGTCAAGACTAGACAGGTGTTCTAGTTAGATTACCCCAGTCAAGACTAGACAGGTGTTCTAGTTAGATTACTCCAGTCAAGACTAGACAGGTGTTCTAGTTAGATTACCCCAGTCAAGACTAGACAGGTGTTCTAGTTAGATTACCCCAGTCAAGACTAGACAGGTGTTCTAGTTAGATTACCCCAGTCAAGACTAGACAGGTGTTCTAGTTATGTTACCCCAGTCAAGACTAGACAGGTGTTCTAGTTACGTTACCCCAGTCAAGACTAGACAGGTGTTCTAGTTAGATTACCCCAGTCAAGACTAGACAGGTGTTCTAGTTATGTTACCCCAGTCAAGACTAGACAGGTGTTCTAGTTAGATTACCCCAGTCAAGACTAGACAGGTGTTCTAGTTAGATTACCCCAGTCAAGACTAGACAGGTGTTCTAGTTAGATTACCCCAGTCAAGACTAGACAGGTGTTCTAGTTAGATTACCCCTGTCTAGACTAGACAGGTGTTCTAGTTAAATTACCCCAGTCAAGACTAGACAGGTGTTCTAGTTAGATTACCCCAGTCAAGACTAGTCAGGTGTTCTAGTTACGTTACCCCAGTCAAGACTAGACAGGTGTTCTAGTTACGTTATCCCAGTCAAGACTAGACAGGTGTTCTAGTTAGATTACTCCAGTCAAGACTAGTCAGGTGTTCTAGTTACGTTACCCCAGTCAAGACTAGACAGGTGTTCTAGTTAGATTACCCCAGTCAAGACTAGACAGGTGTTCTAGTTAGATTACCCCAGTCAAGACTAGACAGGTGTTCTAGTTAGATTACCCCAGTCAAGACTAGACAGGTGTTCTAGTTAGATTACCCCAGTCTGGACTATACAGGTGTTCTAGTTAAATTACCCCAGTCAAGACTAGACAGGTGTTCTAGTTAGATTAACCCAGTCAAGACTAGACAGGTGTTCTAGTTAGATTACCCCAGTCAAGACTAGACAGGTGTTCTAGTTAGATGACCCCAGTCAAGACTAGACAGGTGTTCTAGTTAGATTACCCCAGTCAAGACTAGACAGGTGCTCTAGTTAGATTACCCCAGTCAAGACTAAACAGGTGTTCTAGTTAGATTACCCCAGTCAAGACTAGACAGGTGTTCTAGTTAGATTACCCCAGTCAAGACTAGACAGGTGTTCTAGTTAGATTACCCCTGTCAAGACTAGACAGGTGTTCTAGTTAGATTACCCCAGTCAAGACTAGACAGGTGCTCTAGTTAGATTACCCCAGTCAAGACTAGACAGGTGTTCTAGTTAGATTACCCCAGTCAAGACTAGACAGGTGCTCTAGTTAGATTACCCCAGTCAAGACTAAACAGGTGTTCTAGTTAGATTACCCCAGTCAAGACTAGACAGGTGCTCTAGTTAGATTACCCCAGTCAAGACTAAACATGTGTTCTAGTTAGATTACCCCAGTCAAGACTAGACAGGTGTTCTAGTTCGATTTCCCCAGTCAGGACTAGACAGGTGTTCTAGTTAGATTACCCCAGTCAAGACTAGACAGGTGCTCTAGTTAGATTACCCTAGTCAAGACTAGACAGGTGTTCTAGTTAGATTACCCCAATCAAGACTAGACAGGTGCTCTAGTTAGATTACCCCAGTCAAGACTAGACAGGTGCTTTAGTTAGATTACCCCAGTCAAGACTAGACAGGTGTTCTAGTTAGATTACCCCAGTCAAGACTACACAGGTGTTCTAATTAGATTACCCCAGTCAAGACTAGACAGGTGTTCTAGTTAGATTACCCCAGTCAAGACTAGACAGGTGTTCTAGTTAGATTACCCCAGTCAAGACTACACAGGTGTTCTAATTAGATTACCCCAGTCAAGACTAGACAGGTGTTCTAGTTAGATTACCCCAGTCAAGACTAGACAGGTGTTCTAGTTAGATTACCCCTGTCAAGACTAGACAGGTGTTCTAGTTAGATTACCCCAGTCTAGACTAGACATGTGTTCTAGTTAGATTACCCCAGTCAAGACTAGACAGGTGTTCTAGTTAGATTACCCCAGTCTAGACTAGACAGGTGTTCTAGTTAGATTACCCCAGTCAAGACTAGACAGGTGTTCTAGTTAGATTACCCCAGTCAAGACTAGACAGGTGTTCTAGTAAGATTACTCCAGTCAAGACTAGACAGGTGTTCTAGTTAGATTACCCCAGTCAAGACTAGACAGGTGTTCTAGTAAGATTACTCCAGTCAAGACTAGACAGGTGTTCTAGTTAAATTACCCCAGTCAAGACTAGACAGGTGTTCTAGTTAGATTACTCCAGTCAAGACTAGACAGGTGTTCTAGTTAAATTACCCCAGTCAAGACTAGACAGGTGTTCTAGTTAGATTACTCCAGTCAAGACTAGACAGGTGTTCTAGTTAGATTACCCCAGTCAAGACTAGACAGGTGTTCTAGTTAAATTACCCCAGTCAAGACTAGACAGGTGCTCTAGTTAAATTATCCCAGTCAAGACTAGACAGGTGTTCTAGTTAGATTACTCCAGTCAAGACTAGACAGGTGTTCTAGTTAGATTACTCCAGTCAAGACTAGACAGGTGTTCTAGTTAAATTACCCCAGTCAAGACTAGACAGGTGTTCTAGTTAAATTACCCCAGTCAAGACTAGACAGGTGTTCTAGTTAAATTACCCCAGTCAAGACTAGACAGGTGTTCTAGTTAAATTACCCCAGTCAAGACTAGACAGGTGTTCTAGTTAAATTACCCCAGTCAAGACTAGACAGGTGTTCTAGTTAAATTACCCCAGTCAAGACTAGACAGGTGTTCTAGTTAAATTACCCCAGTGAAGACTAGACAGGTGTTCTAGTTAAATTACCCCAGTCAAGACTAGACAGGTGTTCTAGTTAAATTACCCCAGTCAAGACTAGACAGGTGTTCTAGTTAAATTACCCCAGTCAAGACTAGACAGGTGTTCTAGTTAAATTACCCCAGTCAAGACTAGACAGGTGCTCTAGTTAAATTACCCCAGTCAAGACTAGACAGGTGTTCTAGTTAAATTACCCCAGTCAAGACTAGACAGGTGTTCTCCAAGTCTGTTATTATCAACAATCTGAATATCGTGGACTTTTACAGTATTATCCTTATTCTGTTACTGCCAGATAATATTAATGATAAAAAAATTGTGATTACTTGCACCAAGTTGTTCAATGATCTCTTGGTTATTTACCAGAGTTTCTTTATTTGACAAAACCAGTTCTAGCAGTTTATTACCTCTGGTGAGTTTTGTTCCACACTGTTTCAGACAGCAGTCCAGAAATACTTCCTGGAAGTCACTGGACTCCAGATTATCAGTCACAGAAGTCCATTCAATTTGCTAAAGTTAAATTCTCCTTCCATTACTACATTATTGTGTCTAGAAGCTGTGACACTTTTATCCCCAGGAAGTCTCCCAGTCTTCCTTTCTACGCCCCTCAAGGAAGGTTCCTTGATGCTGGTGTGGGGTTCTTGATCTAGGGAACTGGATCTATGCTACATTTCCCTGAATACCTTCCATCCCCCCACAGGCGCTGTATAATCCTACGGGTTTAGCGCTTCCCCCTTGATTATAATAATAATAATTCCTTTCTAAGTTTGGGGCTCAGTATATTATATCTAAAACTAATTTTTGTCTTTCTAGAAATTCTAGCCACACAAATTCTGTGACTAAACTATTTAGTTTTATACCTGTTTTTATGCAACAGTTTATATTTTCTTGTATATGTAAGATTAACCCTCAACCTTCCCGTTATATCTGTCAAGATGGAACAAGTTAAACCCTTGAGTGTCAGCTTGAAGGTGGCACTTGGCTGAGTGTCAGCTTGA